CACAGTGTGACTGGTTCTTTTTCTTTTTTTCTTTTTTTTTTTTTTTTTTTTTTTTTTTTTTTAGTTTGAGACTGTTTCCCTTTTCTATATTGGCTGGACTGAGGTGTGGGGATAAGGTTCACTGCACATAGGAAGCTAAATCCCCTTTTCTCTGACTTGTCAGGTAGCTTGGAGAAGGATGAAGGATGTGCCCAGCTCCGCGATTCACAACTTCTTCCAAAAGATTAAAAAGTAAAAAGAAGGGGGTTGTGCTTTACCCCTGCCCTTCTTCCCTCTCCACATCTACAGAGCAACAGTTGACTCGGTCAGCTGCGACTGTACTGCAAAGCTGTGAAAAAATATTCCATTGGGCAGACTTGGTTTGAGGGTCTGCACATCCAGAATACCTGGACGTGAAACACGGTACTTCCCTGAACGGCTCCCAAGGCAACGGCTCCCTGTCCAGTTCCAGCTGGACTGGTGGGTGCTCCACTGGTCACCAGTGTCTGAGTGACCCCAGGCGTGGTGTGGTGGTGGTGGCAATGCCACCAGGAGTGTAGGAGGAGCAGGGCAGTGGTCACTGTGGGGGTGGCAGTGGCACCAGGAGGAGCAGGGCAGTGGTCACTGCTTGGTCATGCAGGGTCAGGTAGACCTAAGACGGGTTTCTCTCCACACCTTTGCTGATGCATTTATCTGTTTTTCAGAAATAAAAGGTAGCTGCTGCTTGGAGCTTTCCATGGCATACATCTAATAAATCAATTAACCTGCGCCCCTTCCTGTAACTTGAGCTGCTACTTTGGGCCGGGTTGGGGAGGAAATATCCCATGGATCACTTGGCTTGTTGCACCTGACTCCGGCCTCTCCCGCTGCTGCTGTGCAGTCTCACTGGGTCTGTCGGGAATCTCCAGGTTTTCCCGGCCCAGCTGCTCCTGGCTGGGCCAGGGGGGAGCTCTGTGCCAGAGGGAGCAGTTCAGCCGGAGTGGGCAGCACAATCCCTGCTGAATGTGCCCCTGTCAGTGCCTTTGGAAAATGAAAAGGCTGGGATTTTCAGAGGAGTCCGATCCCGGCAGGGTTTGAGCATCTGAATTCCTCAGTCTCCTTGGCAAACCCTGGCTCACATCCCTGTGTTAGAGAGAGAGGGGTTGGCTGGTGACACTGTTAAACTGCAAGGGGCTTTCTCTGCAGAGGAACATCATCTCCCATTTAGCCTTTTTTTTTAAGGAAAAAACCCCAAACTTCACTGCAAAAGGCAGTGCTCTTTGGTGGTTTTTTTCTGACTGGTTTTGAGAACTGGTGACCAGAACCCCGTTGTCTGGATCCTCCTGTCGCCCTCCCATTGCACCAGCTGTTGAGATGCACTATGCTTGATTGCAGATTGTGTTCTAACGTTTATTTTGTTGTTGGTTTTTTGGTTTTTTTGGTAAACAGTTGTTGCCTTTATTTGTAAAATCCTGTTATAAATATATATATATATTATATAAATATATTAAAAGGTAAAACGTTTCAGATGTTTATTATTTGTATAACTACTTGAGCATAAAGAAGTGAGAAATATGAATGTATTCTTGTTTCTGGGTTGTCTTTTTTTTTTTTTTTTTGAAGAGAAGAATATTCCGTTTTTCTCTCGGGAGAGGTACAGTGTTTATATTTTGGAGTTGCCTTCAAGGTGGGATATTGTACATATTTTTATCTTGAGTAAATGTTAAGTAGTTGTTTAAAAATGCTTAATAAAATAATTCTTTTCCTGTGGAAGATAAGGGTTTGCCTCCTGTGCTTTGAAATGTTTGAGCAGGGTCATTCTGTGTGGTCTGGTCCAGCAGTGGATGGCGATGGGATGGTGCAGAGGGGAGCAGGATCTCGGGGTGCAGAAAGAAGTGGGGATTTCGGGGTGCAGGGGGTAGCAGGAGTCTCCTCGCTGCCCCCATGTCTCCTCTGCCATGGGTGCCCGAAGGAGCTCAGGGTCCCATTACCCCTGTCACCAGAGAGATTTATTTATTTTAACTCCCTTGGCACCTCCAGGGATTTTTTTCGCTCCCAACCCGCAGGAGGTGCCAGGAGAGCCTGGCTGGCTTTCCTGCTCTCTCCTGATGTCACGTTGTGCTCCCTGTGTCTGGCATTTGGCTCCTGGGCTCCAAGCTCCATGGGGAGGAGGCAGCCCCTCGCCATGGAGGATGCAGCGTGTCCACAGGCTTTGCCTGGTACCTGGTGGAAAATGGGCTTGTTGCAAACTGGTTTTGCTTTACCAGTGCCCTCAGCCTGTGTCAGAGCTGCCACAGGACTGCCAGGATTGTGCCCACCGGCCCCTTGAGGCTGAGGGGTGCAAGGGCCAGGTCCTACCTTGGCTGGGAGCAATCCCTGCTACCTCCACATGTCCTGGGTGTCCCTGGTTTGGGACTTTCAGCAGGTGGTGGAGCAGCCCTGTGCCTTCACTCACTGCTGCTGCAAGGGCTGGGGGTATGAGCCACATATGGCCTCTGCACAAGATGTTGTTGATCCCAAACCTCTCCCGAAGGCACAAGATGGGAGAAGCGAAGGGATGGGTGGGAGGACTCGGTTTCCTGGCGGTGCTGCCTCTGTGGGGATGGGGCACAGGCACTTCAGGGGGGGATTTTGGATTTTCACAGATGAAGCACAAAACGTGGGGAGTGTTTAAGGGCCCAACTGGTCCAGCTTTGCTCAGTCCTGGGCTGCAGCACCTCTGGGACCCTGCAGAGAGAGGCAGGCGCCCAGGGGCTGCTGTTAGACTGTGGTTAGAATTAGCTCAAAGAAATGTTAGCTTAAGTAATACTAGAAAAAAGTGCAGGGCTGCTTAATGTGTTTGGGGCCTTCACACTTCCTGGCGTTCATGCTGTGTTTGTTTTAATTAGGCCTAAATATTGATCTCACTGAAGGCAACTGTAGTAACCCCCATTTGGTGCTCAGCACAGGGCACCTCCAGCCTCAGGACCCGCTGGATTTCTGGCTCCTTTTCACAGCTCTTACTCCCCTTCGGTCTCCATCTCCTGACCCACTTTGTCCCATGGTGGGAGGACTCACAGCAACCCCAGATCTTCAGTTATGGGGGGGGGAGAGAATTGTAAAAAAAGAGTGGAAGAGAGAACATTTATCCGGGAAGCAAAGGATAATTACGAGCCAGGGATTTTCTCTGCTGCCCTGGCGGCGTGCCAGCGGGACAGGTGAGTTCTGTGGGGCAGGGCACCGGCCACGTCGTGGGGCAGGGGCTGCCCCTGTGGTGGCACCGGGCGGGGACCCCGAACAGCCCCTGCCCTGCGCACTCACCGCGGGCAGAGCCCGGCGCTGCATCCCGGAGCCAAGGGGGCATCCAGGGAGGAGGGCGATGGAGGGGCGACCCCCGGCACGGCGCCAGCGCCGGGCAGCCCCGGCGGGGTGTGCAGAGTTCCCTGGACTTGTTTTCATGGTCTCACCCAGCTCTGACCTGCCTCAAATGTTGACACAATGTCACGTTTCCGACTGCAGTCTTTCATGTGCAGCCGGAGGCTAAATACGGCTGCTGGTTCCTGGAAAAAGACGTGCCTGGCACCCTTTCAGCAGAAACCCGATCCCCATGCAGGCTTGGCACAACAGCTGAATAACACGGCAATAACTCTTTCAGCAGCATTTCAACCCATAAATAGGGCTTCCCGAGCGACTCCTTGAAGTCAGGCGAGGAGGATACAACGATTTTTAGAAAAAGCAAAAATATAAAGTCGGGGTGTGTGAAGAGCGGGCACGAGGGGGCAGCGGGTTCGGGCAGATCAAAGGGTGCTGTGGGGGTGCTGAGCGTGGTTTGGTGAGAGGGAGCCCAGGATTGCCTCAAAAGGAAAGAAACGCTCCTGAATTTTTTAATGTCTCGGTCCCGTTTCATACCAGCCCTGTGGAGGCAGGGGAAGAGCCTTCCCGGGAGCCAGGGCCTTTCCTAACCCCGGTGAGGACACACAGACACATAATTTTAGCTTTTCACCACCTGTTTGGAAAGCTCCTATAACCGAGTGCTGTGGGACTGGATGGTTTTTACAGGCATGTACCCCGGGAGCTGCTTATTTGCATTATGCATGGACCAAGGCCTAAAATAATCTGCAGTGACGCACATTTTTTGCTGTGATTTTTTTTCCCCTCCCTTTTCCAGGACTCCATTTTTCTGAACGTGCCATGACTTTTGAGGACCACGCATGGTTGCCCAGCCCCGGGGCTGCCGAGGCCCTGATTCAGCACGTCCTGCTGCGGCGGGGGAGCAGGGGGAGCTCCCGGTGCCCGGCCGTGACACAGGGAGAGGGCCCTGGTGCTCCGCCTTGGCTTTCATCTGCAGAGCGTGTAGCTGCAAGTGCGGCGTGTTTACAAATGCAGGCATTGCAAGATCCCTTGAACTGTGTCCTAGTACAAAAGAGGCTTTGAAACGAGAAACACGTTGTCATGGCATGTTCCAGGCCAGCAGCACCAGACTGAACCAGATAATTGCTGTTTCTGCTTCACCGTGGAAAAAGCAGCAGGTCTTGAGCAAGTCTTTTTTTTTTTTTTTTCCTTTAGATATTGGGTGCGATGCTCGGGATGGAAGGGGAGGGTCGGGAATGCCCGGGCAGTGGGGGCAGGGGTGGGATGATCTCCACAGGGCTGCAGGCACAGTTCCTGTGCGGGGCTGAGGTGGTGTAACCCTACCCGCGGGGCCGGTGACACTGACCCCGGTATGTGACACGGGGTGTCCATGTTTTGTAACCCTGACTCCCGGCGTGCTGCCCGAGCCAGGAGACGTGGCTCTCACAGCTCCCCTGCGTTCCAGACCTTTCCCACTGCCCTTCTCCTGGCAGTTCACGGCACTTTGAGAACTTTGAGAACTACCCAAATGCCTCTCCGTGCCAGGTGAGAGCTGCTAATTGGCCCCTTCATTGACTACTCCGTTAGTGGCCCTGGGCAAGCAGCACCTCTGCACCACTGGGAATACTGGGAACAATGGAGCTCTCATGCCCACGCTCCCAGGGCACCATGTGCTGTGCTGGGGTTGGAAATGAAGGCTGACATTTCTACCTATTTTGGAATAATTTATTTCTTAGACATTTCTCTTTCCCCCAGGTGTGTTTTTGCCCCAGGCACATCACGCCATGGAGTCAGTTATTGCCATTACACCCAGTGCCTTTGGAAATGGCCAAACAGGAAAGCTCTGCCAGGGAAGGGTTTTTCACCACATGTGTCAAGTTAAAAACTGCAAAGGGGGCAGGCTGGGTAACACCACACAGCTGAGGGAATGCCTGGAGATAAAAGGCAGATCCCCATCTCCTCCTGTGTGTGGTGCTGCCCATGGGATGGTGGGACCTGGATAAGGTTTGTCCTGGGCTGGTTGTTCCTGGCACCCAACTCTCCCCCCTTGTGGGGCTGCAGCCCTGCCCAGTGCTCAGGCCGGGTCTGGCTCAGGCAGGTGGGTGTTTGCTGGGGGTGCCGGACCCTCGGCCATCTCAGCACTGCCCATCTCCATCTGTGAGGGCAAAAATGCTGAGGAGGCAGAGCTGTGTTGGCTGCTGAGCCTTGGGCTTGCCCTCAGAGGTCCATTTTACCTGCTCTCCTGACCTCTGCTCATTATTCCAGTACCCAGGATGGGATCCCAGTTTATTGTTTCCTTAACAACAGCTCCGGTCGAGGAATGGTGGCTGCAGTCTGTGGTTGCCTGAGCTGTCACACAAGAGGAATAATTAGCTTTTCTCTGCTGTACAGCTCTATCCTTCCTTCAGCCCCTGGTGCTGCTGGAAGTACAGTGGCATTCCCTCCTCTGGTGCTGCTCCCCGGCCACCTCCTTGCAGTGGCAGCTGAAGGAAAGGCCGAGATCTATTCTGCTTTGAAAGTCCTGATGAATATGCAAACTATTAGGGCTGAAATATTGCTTATCCCTGTCACGGGGTGTGCACGGAGCTCGTGTTTGTGTTGCTGCCTGAGGATGTATCCAACACCAGTGTGGGGCTGAGCAGCTTAGGGAAGATTTAACTCTTATTTCTATTCTGGATGCCGAATCATTAATAAGGTTATGGCCATGTTGGGGGCCTTTCCCAGTGCCCTCCACCCACTGCCATGGGACCTGCTGGCAGGCTTTGACTCCAGCTATCGATCGGGGCACAGCAGGGCAACGCTTCATCCCCAATGGAAGCGGTTGCTGATGATTATCACATGGAATTAGTGCGTGTGTTGTGAAATTGGTGTGATTTGAGATGAAATGTGACCTATGGGCATAGGCAACGCATTCTAATGTATTCAGGAGCGCTCAGGCTGACGAGCTATTGCTGCTGGTACCACGCTGATTAAACCCCAGCTCGCTCTGCTCCCATTGAAAGCAGTGGGAGGTCTGTCACTGCCTTCCGTGACTGCTGGACCGGATCCAGCCTGCACTTCACGGGATGCATTATTCCAGGATTAGAGAGGCACAGGGAGTGGGATTCCTCTCCCTCGCTGATCTCTACTGCTTAGATGTTTGCCTTGGAGCTGGCAGGGATGCAAAGTCCCCGACCTGGTTTTGGTGTCAACCCAGGGAGGAGACGGGTGGCGTTTGCTCCCAAAGGTCGGCCAAGGCTGGGGTGCTGCTCTGGGGGTGCAGTGAAATGTGGGGTGCTGGGCAGCCCCTCTTGATCCAGAGCACCTGGTGGCATGAGGACGTGGCTGGCAGGAGGCAGGGTTCCCACAAGCATTGCGTGCACAAAGTGTTTGACCCACCAGTGTCAGAGTCCCATTCAGGAATGAAGAAGCCCAGTCCCAGCCCAGGACCCTCAGAGGGGCCCTGGCTCTGCACACGCTGGTCAGGAGGTGGCTGGGGAGGGGTTTTCTCTGGTTCTTGATTTCAGACAAACATTTGACCTCAAAGTGGTGCCGGCTGCTCTGGGGCTGAATTCCCCTGTGGTGTGGGAGGCTGCTGGGAGCACATGGCATCACCACCCCCCAGGGCCCTGCTGCCCCAGCCCCACTGCGCCAGCCCCGCGGCCCAGCCTTGGGCTGGAGGATGACTCAGGGCCCCGTGCGGGAAGGGCCGTGGAGGGAGGGGGTGGTGGTGACCCCCCCAGTGCTACTGGGGAACTGAAGCAATCTGTTTATCATGGAAAAACTGCTCTTTGCAGCAATTCAAATGGAAACTTCCCAGAATGAGTGTTGCAGAGCTTTCCCCTTGAATCACCAGGCCTCCCAAGAGCCGCTTTCTAAGACGATGCCCTCGGGAAAGCTGTCACCAGCCTCGCTGAGCAGCGGCTCCTCCGGGCAGCACAGCTGGTCCTGATCCCTCCGCACGCCCATTCCCATCGGAGCAGTGGCTTTCTCCAGGAGGAGCAGGTATGGGACCACCAGCACACAGCTGTCTCACGAGCTGTCTCATGAGTACACTGGGTGCTGGAAGGCTCTGGGGTGATGGACACCCCCAGCTCGGGGACCAGCCCGGGGTGGAGGCTCCAGCAGTGGCACCTGCTGCCATCTCGCCAGGCCGTTGCCTGTTTTCCCTGCCCGCCTGTCACCCTTTCCATGGTTTAAATGAGTGTCCAAAGGTCAGGGGAATTCAGCCTCTGCCGTTGGCTCACGTAGCCCAGTGAATAAGGAGTGAGTGTGAGACGCCTGACTCGCTCTGCTCCCGTGGGTGCTTTGCATCCCGTGCTGACACGGCCATGGCAAAGCCTGAGCTGGTGGGGAGCACAGACCCTGCGCTGCCTCTGTGCTGTGCCCCAGCACAAGGCCCCTGGTGCTCCCGAGGGATGCTCCCGGGGCAGCCGGGTGCCCATCCCGTGGGGCAGGGCAGCGGGCACGCCGCCTCGGCCGTGAGGCGTTTCCGGCCGTAACCACAGCTGTGTGTAAGCTCTGAGTTGTCAGCCTCGCAGATCGGGACGAGATAGGAAGGAGCCCGGTGTCGAAAGGGGTGGGAGGCCAAGGAGCAGGGCAAGGGGTGGGGAGGGAGGGCAGGTCATGGCACCTTGGTGATCCCCACTGCCACCCTGGGAGCAAAGCTGCCGGGGATTTTTGTACATTTATTCCTGCTGTCCCTGCGGTGCTTGTCCCCATAGTAACAGAGCAGGCTGGCACTGCAGTGCTCGGTGACATCCCCGGTGCCCGGGGGAAGCCAAGGACCTGCGTGGTCCGTGCCCCAACTCCTCAGTGGAGCTCACGAGCACAGGCACAGCTTCCCTGTGCTGCAGAGCCTGTCAGGGACTCACTGTCTGTGCAGCCCTGGGAAAGCACACAGAGCTCGGCCAGGAGGACAGAACGGGCAGGTGTGGGGCTGGCCAGGCCCTGCAGGACCTTGCCTGGGGCGAGGGGTGGCTGATGGCAGGTCCTTGTCCCCAGGGCCTGCAGCAGCTGGGCACCTGCTGTGGCAGAGCCGGGCCCAGCTGCCGTGAGCGGGTGAGGCAGGACCGCACAGGGGTTTTCCAGCTGCAGCCGGACTCCGGCAAGCACCTTGGGCACTTGAGGTCAGGAGGCATTTGCAGCACGAGCTTTTTGAACCCAGGAGCGAGGCAAAGGTGTTTTTAAGGAGACTGACAAGACAGATCTTCGTGCAGATCCTGGAGCTGCTCAGAACATGAGTCAAAGGATTCCTGAAACAATTAGAGCTGTGAGGTGCAGCAGCAACAGCACATTCACCATCAGCAGCTCTGCCAGGCGCCCCCGGCCAGCTGCTCGTGCTTTCCCTCTAATAAGGCATATTAGGCAATTTCCCATTAAAAATGTTTATGGGAATATATAAATATTCACTTATACAGAACTCGCCTGGCCCTTTGTGCACAGAGCAGTGGTGAGAGTGACTTGAATTGTTATAAATCTATCAAGAAAGCTTGAGATGGAGCCTAATGCACAGTGAGATAGATGTCCTAGAGCCCCCGTGGGGAATGAGTGCTCCTGGTGCTGGGATGGGACGCCTTGCTCCGTGGGACAAAGGCCCCCTCGGAGCAGGACAGGGCGTCCACAGGACCTGGGTCACATCCTGTGCTGCCCAGCCACAGGCAGCAACCGTGGGCAGGGTTTTCCCTCGTGTGATTTCCCGATGGCTGTAGGAGGAGCTTGCATAGACCTGATCTGGATTTAATCAAAGGATTTTTTTTTTCATTTGCTGTCTTATGTGCTGACCACCAAACCACATCCTTCAAGCCTGAGCCCAGCACAGTGAAACAAAAACTAACAAAAACTAGGCCAGGGCTTTTTGCTATATTTTTTTTCCTTTCTTTTCCCTTAGCGCATCAGTTGGGTGCAAAGCTGGTACCCACCACTCCTCCAGCCCCTCCGCTGCCCACAGAGCATCCCCATGGGACAGCCCCCAGGGCAGCCTGGCATTTCCCTGAGTGAACCACTTGCAGCTCCACGTGAAGCCTGGGAACTATCCAGATTATGGCCACTGAGCACAGCGTCAGTGGGGAGCAAATACAGAGGAATAATAAGTAATGACGTCCTGGCAGATCATGTAGTCGGGACCTAATCAGGCCCAGCGTGGGGATTGCACTTGGCTCTCCCCGATGCATTAAGCAGCTGAGTGTGTTGCAGCCTGACTGTGGGATCAGGGCAGGCTGGAGGGGCCCTGTGGGCACAGCCCCCGTGGCCATGGTGTGACAGGGCAGCACCCACAGCATCCAGTGGTGACCTGCCTGCCTAGGGAAGTTCTCAGGTTCACAGAGCAGAGAGCAGCTTTATTGTTTTATTTTGCAAACCAAAACCAGCCGGGAGTTTCTGAAGCGTCTGCCGTCCCCACAGAGAGCTGTTTAGTCATGCCTGGTGTGTGTGCATGTGAGACAGTGAGGGGAGGGAGGCTCGAGGACTTTGCAAAGATTAAAGATTTATGCTGACCCTTGAATCTGATCCAAGGCTACTAATCTGTCCTGATCCTATCATCTGCTCAGGGTGGATCTATTTCACTTTCCTTTATGGTACTCCTGACTCATTGCACTCCCACTCCAGGCCAGTCCAGTGGGAATGGGAAGCGCTACCACATATTTGTTTGGGTTTGCATTTAAAGCTCTGGACCTGTGGTGGGTGCAGCTCATAAAGGAAACCAGTGTGGATAAGATATGGGTGAGCTGAATGCTTGGAAACCACTCCCAAACACAAGCTGAAGTGGTTTGAAATCAAGGTGGAGTGATGTACTGAAGGCACAATACTTGGCAGCTATGCCCAGCGTGTGAGAAAGGCATTTAAATCCAAGGTGGTGAGGTAGGCAGGGCACCCAGCGTGCTTCCGACAGGACAGCTCGTGCCTTGCAGGGGCTGCAGTTCCCAGGTGTCACCCTTCTAGCAGAGAATGGGGTACCCACCCCTCATCTGCCCACCCACCCTCTCCAGCTCTGCTCATTGCACCCCTGTGAGACCCTCCAGAGGCCTGAGAGAAGCTGTGCTGGGGTTCTGCTCCTGCCCTGGCATTCCTGCCTGGAAATGCCTTGCTGTGCACCATCACCTTGTACTGAAAGGCTCCTGAGGGGTGCTGGGGGTTTACTATGACAAACTACGTGTAGAGGAGAACATAGACCTGATTTTGTTGAAAGCAGAACAAATCTCCCCTGCCCTCACAAAAAAAAAAAAAAAAAGGTGTGGCAGAAAGAGAAATAGGAGCTTTCCACCCCTCCCCAGCTCTGCTCTGCCTCAGCCACACGTGTCTGAGGAAGGCTGGGGATGCCGCAGCCGCTCTGCCCGTGTGCCAGCCAGGAATGGGGATGGATAACACCTGCTGGGCACCGCCGGCAGTCCCGGAGCCAGGGGCTGACAGGCGACCAGGATCAGTCATACGGGCCTGGCCCGTGGCTGAACTGACCAGGAGCTGGAGTGTGGTATATCCTATTTCAGATCCCCTGGGACATCCTGTTCTCCTGCTAACTGATGATATGTAAATATAGCAAATGCAAAGGGAGGCACTTTCCTAGCGTGCCTTGCCCAGGCTGCATATGGAACGGGCTGAGCCCAGCGGCGCCCTCGGGAACACCCACCGCAACTGCGACAGAGGCATCATGCTTTATTTTTAGTTTAAAATGAAGTTCCTGTTTGTAAGGCCAGAAGGGTTACAGGAAAAAAAATGATGAAGTGGGATCATTTACTGCTATTTTCTTTTCACGTGTCCTTCCTTCCTTCCTCCCTCCTGAGAAATAGGATGTAGCACATCACTATTCCAGGCTGCAATATTCGCTCGCGGGAGGGCTGGTTCCTGCTCCCTCCGAAGAGGCCCATTACGCCTTGTGTAACAAAAGACACCGTCCTCCCAACCCCGCCAATTACCCTTGATTTCGAGTTGCTACATGAAGGCGCTTATCTCATGTAAATGAAACATCGGGCCTCGCACTGACTCGCACTTCCTTTCTCTCTCCGCAGAGTTTTGGGCTGCCCCTGCCAGGCGGGGTGACGGGCAGGGCAGGCAGGGGATGGAGATCCCTCCTTGGCTCATCAATCCCCCTCCTCCCCGGGCCGCTGAGCAGACCCAGCAGCCGTGGGACAGACCGAAACAACGGGAAGCATTTGGTCAGGTCAGCCAAAGGAGCCTCTTTAATGAGCAAAGCCGAGCACTAATTAGTCTGGTGTGCGCCCCTTGCCCCAGCGCCCATCCCCGCAGTTCTCCCTCAGCCGGGGGTCACCGTGGAGGCAGAGCCGCAGGGATGAATTTGGCAGGTGCCCACGTGTTTTTCTCCTTCCCGTGCCCTGTTAGGGAAAGGTAATCCCGAGCTGACAGGAGGGAGACTGCGAGCTGCTGACGGGAATTCCCAGCTGAGGGGTTTTAAGAGCGGTGGGAGCTTTGGCGTATGGATTAGGTTGCTTATATATACTATAGTGTGAAGGAAACAGGCGGTTTTGCTAATTCCCTTGCACTTTGGTTTAATAAAGTAGGATTTGTCTGGTGGGAAAGTGTAACAGTGGGATTTAAGCTGTGTGAGTCTCATGACTGGTGCTCGCCTGGCTGGGTGGGAAGCAGGGAAGCATCGGTCACATTCTGTCTCTGCTCTGTTCTTGTGTTTTTAGACATGATTTGAATGCCCACAGCTTCGGATGAGCTTTATTTGGATTAGGTTTATTTAAAAAATCCATATGCAGAGACTTGCACTGAATTCTGTAGCCCAGTTTTTCAGAACTGCAGTGCTCTGTGTCTGAGAACCAGGACCACTTGGTTTGTCAGTGCCTTGTGACAAAGACTTACAAAAACTGAGAGGATAAAGAGGAGGGGGCCAGTGCACAGAGGAAGAGGGGACAGGTTAATATCTGGTACAGCCTCTGAAGGGAAACGAGATCCTTCTGCTTCTGGTTTTAATGAGGAAGGCCCCAATGGAAATTTAAAATCTGGATCTGCATCAAATCCTCAAAGTTCAGGCAGTTTAGAACAAGGAGTTCGGTCCATTCCATCACACATCAGAGCTGTCTGCAAAATTCACAGCCCAACACTTTTTTCCAGCCATGAATTCTGCCAAAGATGTGTGCTTGGATGTGAGGTATTTTTCTTCTTTTTCATCCCTTTTGCTAATTTAATTCCCAGATCTAAACCACATTTTTCCATCCTGGACTTCCACAAGCTGGGATGCCTTGTTTGCGGTTGGGAAGCTTTGCTGTGCCCTCTGTGGAGTGCTGAGGTGTCAGGGGGGTCACCTGCCTGCAGTAAGTGACCGAGCAAAGGGGAGGCCTCGGGGTCAGGCATGGGGCTGGTTTATTGCCAGAGTCAAAGTTTTGGGATGCGCTAGCGAGCAAATCATTACAGTGTTCCTGCCCTTCTTTCTCTCATTAAGAGGATAAAACCCAACCAATTATTGGAATATGCACAAATATGCCACTGATGAGGGCCCTGAGCAACCAGGCAGATTTTTCGAGCAGCCTTGAAGCAGCAAGACACAGCAGCCACATGCTGGGCTCTCCCTTATTTTTATTCTTTTCTGTTTTCTTGGTTGTAGAATAAGAGCTAATCAAAGTGATGCACTCCAGCAGGCTTTTGTGTATGGCATTACAGCAAAATCCTAAATTCTCTTTCCTGCTCATGCATACAAAGCAGGAAGAACTAGGATGGCTGCAGACTATTTTCAGATGATTCAGCCAAGGAGAAAATAACTGGGTGGCTGGAAGAAGGAGCTTTGGATAGGAAATAGCCTTGAAGTGCAGCTCTCTGACATGACGGCGTGCGAGGTGCCCAGCTCCCTGAGACAGCCCTGCTCTGTGAAATGGAACATGACTTCCAGAGGAGATGACAAAGGACAATACAGACACCAGAGCACCCAAAACCCCGTGCAAGAGAGACTGCAGAGTGAGCTGGGTGCTCCCTGCTGCTCCTGAGCAAGAAGTGGTTTCAGCATCAACATACATGAAGTTCCCCCTGCTCGGTTCAGGACTCCTACCAAGTGCTGAGACAACAAGTTGAGTATTTGGCTGGTAAATCAGTGCAGCTCAACTGACTGGGTTCATGGGAGGCTGTTTGTACCTGTAGATGTGTTGTTTCTTCCTCCACTAAAGGCAAAAGCATCACCTGGGACTTGCCCCTCACACCTGGAGCAAGTTGGATGCTCCCTCCCCACAAGGCAGGAGCGTGGGCATCAGTGATACCTGAGCGAAAACTCTCACCTCCCTGTGCTTCACTTCACAGCACCTGGTCTGCAGCCCTCTCTCTCCCCCCCCTCATTTCAAAGGGCCACGCAGTTCTCTCCCCCTTGTCTGTGACAACACTGGGGACAAAGCCCCAAAGATGGTCCCACCGGGCAGGCTGGGGCTGACGTGGGACATGGCGTTGCTCTTCGTGTTTGTTCGTGTCTCTTGAACAGCTCAGCACTGATCAAATCCCCTGATTTGGATTTATTCTGTGCAATTCAAAGCAAGATTTGCTGGACCCCGCGGTGCCCATGTGCCCGGGGAGGGTTGGGGTGTGGGTGCGGGCACTGCCAGGTCAGGGGAGGTCCTGACTGAGGATGAAGGTGAAGGCATCTTCGAAGGCTTTGGGCAAGGAGGACGGTTTCGATGAGGCTGCATCCCCCTCTGCTGGAAAATCCAAGCAAAGGCAGCAGAGCACCCGCTGGCCGGGGAGAAAAAGCGGGAATAAATGTGCAAAGAACACAAGTGAGGCCCGAGGGTCCCCGGGGCCCAGAAGGGACATCGCGGCAGCCAGCCTGGGGTGTACTGGGGGTTCATCTGCTGCTGGCCGTGCTGAGAGGGCTCTTGCTGGGGACAGCCAGACCCCGAGCAGAAACTGGGACCATGTCGCATTTGTGCCAGGCACAATCCCACTCCCCATCACGGGAATGGGCGAGTGGGGCAGGGGCAGCACCTGACAGTGTGGTCAGGCAGGTCCTGACGATGTGGCAGGGTCTCACAGCTGGCAGAGAATCGTGACTGTTACTAAACAGAATTGCACAGACAAAGGCAGTGCTTTGACACTGGGTTCAGAGAGGCTTTGTAGCCCAGGTGGTGCCCAGGGGCCATAGCTGACGGGCATGAGGTGCAAAACACACTGGGGAGACTGAAATACTTATGGCAACCATGGGCAGTGGCATTTGCCAGGAAGGGGCTGCAGTGCTGTCTGGTTCTTGCCAAACAGCTCGTAGGGAGCTCTACTTCAAACCAGAGGCTGGAGAAAATGCCTCTCCTCACCCCTCACCTGCTCCCTGGGTGGGTGGCTCATGGTTCAGTCTAACCAAGGACTCCTGAGAAGTCCCTGCTCTGGATTCCCCTGTGGTGCTGCTTTCTCTGGTCCTACAGGTGCCTGCACACAGCCCCGGGCTCTGTGCTCGTCTTTCAGAGCCTCACTTGGAGGCCGTTTGTGCTTAGACTGGAAGAATGGGTTTGTTTCCTTTTGGATTTAAAATCTAAATTACAGCAGGGGTGAAATGCGGTGACTGGGCTGGCGAAGGCCCCGACTGTGCAATAAATCTGCAAGCATGGGCCTGGCTTTTGCGCAGGGGGCTCTGCAAGTGCCAAGGTCGCTGCTAATAAATCTGACTGGAGGACCAGGAGGAAATTTTTTTAAACTTACTGCAAACAGCAGGCTCCTTTTTAACCATCTTTTTTTTTTCCTTGCTCCCTTCTGCTGATTCATGCTCCTGCTGCTTCGCCACTGGGAGACGCCAGCATTCCTGAAGGTCATCACTTGCATGCAGCAGCTCACGCTGCGGAGTGTCTGCCAGCATCTAGGAAATCGAAATGCTAAAGTGCCTGCGATCATTTATATTTTCCCTGGCAGTGACAGACAATCCACAGCTTGCCAACTGAGGAGCTGCCACGTTTCCAGGCTGCTACACTGCTCGAAGGTAAAGGAGGTGCATGAAAGGCGATGCCTCCCGAGGAACCTGACACCAGGTCGCCTCAGTGGCACGAGATGAGGATTTTCACCTGGGTTCACCTGCAGGCAGCACTCTTAGAGATATGGAAACCCAGGGTTCAAGCAGGCACCCCTCTGACTTACACCCAAACCGTTCTGTCACCCCGTGATCCCATGACACCGGGAAATGAGATCCGTGTGCTCACGTCAGGAGTCACGCTGCTGCCCGCCTCACATCCCTGGGGAAGCAGGGCTGGGCTGCCCTCACTGACACCTCTCTCCCCTTCTCTGCCTCTGCTCTCCACTGTGGTAAAGACTTGGTGCTGTCCTGGGCTGCAGAAAAGAGGCAGGACTTTAGGGCATGCTGGCAGCATGCAAACATCTCTGAGGAAATAAGTTATCTTTTAGTTTTCATGGCATGTCTCCTTCTTAGTGGCAAAGGCATATTTCTGGTTTAGCTCAAGCACTAACAGCACAACAGACACTTTTACTTTTTTCAGGAGAGCAATGAAGAAGACACGGTGAAATCCTTCCTTTGCTTCTTCAGGTTATTTAGTGAGTATTAAACTGTGGCAGTACCAAAAATCCTGAGTAAAATGACGTGAAGACACTGTGTTACAGGCTGTGGTAGGTTTAGGAACCATCAGTTATTTAATGTCCATCTCTTCAGAAGTGACCCCTAATCTTTTACCCTTTCCCTTATGTGTTTGTAAGAGAAGGATGACACGTATCTCACAACCACTATCACCTACCTTTGTTTCTTTTGAGAATATTTTAAGTGTGCCTTGAAAAAGAGGAGTTGGAAACAGCCCCCAGGAAGGCTCCGGTTTGTCCTCACAGCTCCTCAGCTTCCCCAAATCCAAGAGCTTCTCCCTCGCTCAACAAGGGAGCCTCCTGGCCTGGGAGGCACCCACAGTCTCTTTAATTTACAAATTTCCAGTTCAACCCCTGAAAGAAAATCAGTGTCTGAGCAAACTGGCGGCACAAACAGGACACTCCTCAAAGCAACGGAACGTGAGCAAGCAGGAGAGCAACATCTCAGAGTAATGTTGACACTATTTTTTGGCTGGGGCTCCTCGCTCAGCAGCAGGGGAGGTGCCACCCAGCAGGCGTCTGTAACTCATCAAATCAATTAGTTTCTTTGTCTGCAGGAGGAGTTGTTCGCCAAAGACAAATTAAAGGAACGTCCAGTAAGATCCTCTATTCTGAGAGGAGCTGTCCCATTTTCTCATACTAATGACAGACTCCGAAATCTGTGCACAATTTAGCTCGTTATTAGAACTAATTGGTGCCAGGCATTCCATCCTCTCTGATAGGGCTAACCATGGGGATGAAATTTTCCGAGTTAATGAACCAGAGAATGGATTAAGAACTTTCAAAGTGCAGTTCATATCACAGCTTAATTGGAAGGAGTATATTAGTTGGCTTTTTATGGATACAAAGGAAAGCCATGCTTTGGGGTGGAAAAGCACATGCACAGCCGCCTTCCCTGCCACTGGGAAGCTGGGAATTTCTAATTTCAGCGGGGCAGAGCCACGGCATTTGAAGGCAGCGCCTTCCCCGCATGCTGTCAGCCGGAGAGGGGTGGGAACAGGCTTTATTTTCTGTGTGCAGCACTTGCCATTCCTCCCACCTAAGGCCCTGCGGGGAGAACCAATTAGTGTAGCTCTCCCAAGGCCAGGGAGCTGCCAGGGGGATCCAGGGCCAGTCTGGGCACTGGGGATCCTCGGGATGCGGATCCAAACCCTCCAGACTGTCATGCCCCAGTGTGCAGTTCTGGTGTTCTTATACCCATCCCACTCTAGTTGCTTTTTTACGCCTGTTTCACTGAAGAGGAAATTTATATCACCCATTTTTCTGGCTCAGAGAAATAACCTTTTTTTCTGTGTGATTTAGACGATTTCCTTCTGGCAGCGATGGAGAAGGAGAAGCCTTTGCAATTGTCCCATAAACAGCATGGAACCTCGGGAGGGGTGTGCGCACTGTGCTTGGCTTCCCCAAATTCATCAGCTGCAGGTGCTGCTGCTCTCCCTCCATCCTGGAGTAGAAAGGCGTCTGCCAGCTGCATACATAATATCTTTAAAATTTATACTATAAAGATAAAATAAATAATATTATCAGATAAATAAATATATATTTTCTCATATAAATAAATAATACCATAATATCTTCAAAATATCTATTTTAAAGTCTGCCTGTCTTTAAAAGCAGTTCCTGCGTGTGATTTTTGTTAGCCAGGGGCTAGGATAGCAAAGTTGTAGCATTCCTCTGGAAAAAAGAAAGGGAAAGGCCTGTTAGCATCAGCTGGCTCTGGGTTATACCTGGTGCTGTATTTGCTGGTTTTTGCAAATGTAAGTAATACTAAACAACCCAAAATTCCCAGGTGCTGATGCTACTGCCTCCCTGGGTGTTTTTCTGCACCATCTGAGCTGCTTGGCCCCTCTCTCTTCATTATTCAGCCTCCATAAAACTATTTAACTTTCTTCTCCCACCCCCCTTGGAGTTGGGATGTGCATATCCAGGTAGCCCACTCCATTCTTCATACATTATCTTAGCTCTTTAATATTTTAAAAATAATTTGAGAACTAGTGCAGAACAATAGCTGTTTTCCAACCCACTGGCAATCAAAAAAATCCTGTTTAATATCCATTCATAGCTCTTAATTTGAGTAATGAAAGTTTTACTGCAACATGATAAGAAATCCCGAAGAAAAAGACTGTGCTTCAAGTGAATGGAAAATATTCTTTGGGTATCCTGTAGACTTCTCATGATGTTTTTTCAGCTCCACCTCCATTTGCTCAGCTTGTGTCCCTCCTGCCTGGCCCCTCACTGCACAAACCACTGTGTAATTCCCCAGAGAGCTGGAGCAGCACGATTTGTAAATTTGGGCATAATGTGGCTGGGAATTAACCAGTTACAGTGACCTGACCAGTGCAGCAGCAGGATCCTTGGAAAATCACCCAAAAAGGTCCATGCAAAATGCATGGATTCCTGGCAGGAACTTCTAGAGAACATCTAGTTATGTGAGAATAACTGGGAATAACGAGGTTAAATGGGCTTTCCCTTCAGTTCTGGCAGTTCTATGAGCACACAAAAAGTTTTGGGTCAGAGATCAGGAGGAATTTCTTCACAGAAAGGGTGATTAGACACTGGAAGGGTCTGCCCAGGGAGGTGGTGGAGTCACTGTCCCTGGAGGTGCCCAAGGAAGGACTGGACGTGGCACTCCGTGCTCTGGGCTGGGTGACAAGGTGGGGATTGGGCACAGGGTGGACTCGATGGTCTTGGAAGTCTTTTCCAACCTTACTGATGTTGTGATGGTGTGGGGTGTGAGTTCACACCCCTGCACCCACACCTGTCCATGATGGTGGGCTGAGGACGAGAGATCATTGTCTTAAGTTGCACACGGGAGGTTCAGGTTGGACATCAAGAAGAATTTCCTCACACAAAGGGTTATTAGACACTGGAATGGACTGGGAGGTGGCGGAATCACCACCCCTAGAGGTGTTCAGGGAGTGGACATGGCACTCAGTGCCATGGTCTGGTTGACAAGGTGGTGTTCGGTCACTGGTAATCTCAGAGGTCTTTTCCGACCTCAGTGATGCTGTGGTTCCGCGGGGTGCGGACGGACACCCTGGCACGCCTGCCCGAGGCGGTGCTGAGGCAGCCGCAGTACCCGCCTCCCTCACGGCCGCCATGACGGCCCCGCCCCCGCGGTCCTCCCGTGGCGCGGGGCCGCCAGGGGGCGCTGCGGGGCGGGGCGGGGCCGGCGGCGCGCGGCCCGTGCCGGTGACCGCGCGGTCACGTGACGGCGGGGGGAGCCGGGCGGCGAGCGCGGGTGTCCCGGACCGGCCCGGTGCGGCACGGTACAGCAC